AAAAATAAAATTTAAAAATTAAATTGGTTAATCATTAACTATATCCTCAAATCTGTAAGAGAATTCCAGTTCTGTAAAGTGCCTGCACCAAGTTACACCACTACCAGCCATGTACAACAATTTCTGTTCCTCCATACTCCTCTAAATAAAAGCTCTGTAGTTTTATCTTAAAAAAAAGGGGGGGGGGGGCTAGTGCAATAGCATGGCAGCTAAAGTCCTTACCTTAAACGTGCCAGGATCCCATATGGGTGCCGGTTTTAGTCCCGGCAACCTTGCTGGGACCTTGCACCTGTGTGGGAGACCCGGAAGAATCTCTGAGCTCCTGGCTTCAGATCGGCACAGCTCCAGCCGTTGCAACCACTTGGGGAGTAAAGCAATGGAAGGGAGATCTAGTGATGATGTAGGGAAGGAAGGAAGGAAATGTGCCCTCTGGGTGTGTCCCTCAGCTTCACACACGGCCGTGTTGTTCAGTGCACATGTTTCTCATCGCTGAATTTTCCCGTTTGCTTCGTATTGATACCCAGTGTCCTCCATGGTCCGGTGTGACTCTTTTTGGATTAGAATCTACTTTATCAGCTCTCTTTGTGGCTGGCTCCTTGTGTTTAATGTCTGAGGGAATCTTTCCATCCTGTCACTTTTAACTAACCTGTGTGTGTCTTTAAGACCCCAGTGAGGCTCTTGTAAGCAGTGTAAGTTGATAACCTTTGGCTTTTTGGTTTTTTGCCAGCCTAAGGCAGGCAAAAGCAAGGAGCCAGGTGCCCATCCAGTTCTCCCACATGGGCTGTGAGGGACCAAGCACTTGGGCTATCTTGCATGGCTTTAACAGAAAGCTGAGTCAGTTAGAGAAGGTGGGATGCACACACATCGAGATCTTTCAGTCTCTGCCCCTCTGCTCCCCTCTGGAGCCACAGCTGCACGGTCAGGCCAGGCAGAGCCGCACGTCTCCCTCACTGGACGGGCGGACACAGAAACAGCTGCAGGCACCAGGCTGCCCTGCGTCCCGCCCTGCCCTTGACCATCAAGTCAGGGGCCTCAGGATGTCAGCACGGTGCTCAAGCCCTTCTCTCGCACAGCTGTTATCATGGGTCGCTCCGCCTGCCCACCTCTCAGGGGTGCAGATTCCCCATGCCCAGGCCACTCCGTCAGGCCGTCCAGCCCTCAGGACAGCTGGGTTTGCTCACGGAGTGGGACCTTCGTGGACTAGCCAGGTGGTCGGACCCTCGGGCTGCGCTGCCCTGGGCAGGGAGCCCCACCAGCAGGTAGAGAACCCCACTAACACTAGGTTTGGGGCTTCCAACGCAATTTTACTTATGAGCGTCCCGGGACGGAACCCCACGGTAAATGTTAGACCAGGTGTATGTGTGCGTTACGTGTTTGTGTGGACACACACACCTGAGGCCACGGTAAGTGGTTCGCTTCCCTGAACCTGTCCCAAGGGTGACTTTCCGCCAGCCTCCTCTCGGCCACGCCCCACGCCGGAAAGGCTGAATGAGAGGCAGGTAGCCGCCCGGGCCGCAGCAGGTGCCGGGCTCCATCGCTGAGGGCGCGGCGCTGCCAGGCTCCGCCCGCGGGGCCGGTCAACACACGCCGGGACGGCCTCGAGGGTCGGGGCGCCCCACCGCACGGCCGGCCAGGAGGGCGCCCCCCACCGCACGGCCGGCCAGGAGGGACATCGGGGCCCCCCACCTCACGGCCGGGTGGGACGTTGGAGAAGCCCCCCACTGCGCCTGGAACCCAAGCTAGGCGGCTTGGGCCCGGTGCACGCCGGGAAGCGCGGCCGCCCCGCCCCGCCTCCTTCGCTGCGCGGCCCTCGGCTGCCCCCTGCCGCCGCCCGGCGGCCCTGCACGCCAGGTAGCTCCTCGACCCCGCCCTGCGCTCCGCCCACCCCCGCGTCATGATTGGCGGCCGCCTTCCGCCCCGGGATTGGCTGCGCCCAGGGCTGAGGCTCCGCCCCCTCCCCGGCCCTTTGATCACGCGCTGCGGGCTCTTCCGGGGCCGGGGAGCCGGGCGAGGGCGTTGCTGTCGGGGCTGCCGCGGCGGGAGGTAAGGCATGGCCGGGCAGCCGGGCAGCCGGGCAGCCGGCATCCCACGCGGCCCGGACGCTGGGCGGCCCCTCGGCGCGCCGCACACTCCCACCCCGTGCCGGGGGAACTGCCTCCCTCCTGCCGAGGCTGGCCCGCATCCCGACGCTCTCCCCACCCTGGCTGCGGGGCCAAGCCCGGTGCCCCAGGGACACAGGGCGGCCGCTCGGTGCTGACCCTCTGATGGAGGCCGCGGAGACCCCTGGCCCGGGTCCTCGGCCCACCTGCGCGATGCCGCCCCGGACCCACTCCACCTCTGCCCTCCAGACCAGGAGGGGAGGGACCAGGGCGGGTCCTCGGGGCGGGGTAGGGGACCAGAGGGAGGTGACATCATCTGCAAGATACGGTCCAGCCCTAGCCGCTGTGTCCACCCTGGCACTTGGGCCCACTGAGATGTAGGGCCGTGCTGGGGGGACACGGGGAAAAGTAAGGTGCGCAGTCCATAGCTGAACCGTGGAGACTGGGCCCGGACTCAGGCAGGCTTCCTCCGATGCTCCTACTTCCCATTGCAACATAGGACCTCCCTATGCTTTGCACCCCCGGGTAGACCTAGCAGCCAGGGAACCAGGCACTTGCTCCTGACCTCTGCCCCAACCAGGTGGGGATTGCAAGCGTTTGGCCCCTTCCTGATGTAGGGATAAAGGTGGGCATGGGGGCTCAGTTGCCCTCCCACGCCTGGCCCGTGCAGCTCTCATCCAGGTGTCACTGAGTGCCACTGTAACCTCCTTTTCTCTTGCCCAGGGAGCCCAGAGGCGCCCTCCCAAGGCGCCGCTGCCCATGCTGACCACCGGGCCTTCGACCTGCCGATGCCATGAGGAACACCACAGCGCCCAGTGCTCCCCAGGCCAGCAGTGACTCCTTGGTGGGCTATGTGTTGGGCCCCTTCTTCCTCATCACCCTGGTCGGGGTGGTGGTGGCAGTGGTAAGGAGTCTCCTCCACACACCCACACCTTGACCAAGCCTGGCTGAGCAGGCATAGCCCTCCAGGGAGGGAGGGAGAGGTGCGGGAGCCCTGGCCCGCAGCCTTCCTGTGCACAGCAGCCCCCACTGCTCTGTTGCAGGTCATGTATGTCCAGAAGAGGAAACGGTGAGTGCCCCTGGCTCTGCATGAGCTTTACCCACCAGACGCCCCCTGGCCCGGAATGTTCACCTGACTGCCTGGGAAGAGGGTAGGAGCCCAGGCAGGTGTTTTTCAAGGACAGGGGCTGAAGGCAGTCCTGTGCTCCCCAGGGTGGATCGGCTTCGCCACCACCTGCTCCCCATGTATAGCTATGACCCAGCAGAGGAGCTACATGAGGCTGAGCAGGAGCTGCTCTCGGATGTGGGAGACCCTAAGGTGAGTACTTGGGGGGCAGGGACAGCCAGAGCAATGCCATCCTGTCACCTCCATCAGTCCTGAGACCGCTGACCCCACAGGTGATCCATGGCTGGCAGAGCGGCTACCAACACAAGCGGACACCCTTGCTGGATGTCAAGACCTGACACCCCCAACCCGGCCCTTCTGGACCTTGGGGTCCATCCCTCTTCCCACCAGCCCCACAGCTGAAACCCCACACCCACCTGCAAGCACTGATGGGTACCTCCTGGGGTAGAAGAGCTAGGAGCCAACCTGGCCCCTATAGGTTAATCCCCACAAGGGCTTTAGGGTGATGGACCCAGATGTATAGTATTCATTATATATTTTGTAAATAAAATGTTTTGTGGCGGATTCCCTCCAGTGGGTTTGCATTACACTGGATCCCATCTCACTTGTCCCCCTTCCCTGGAACCTTTGTTTTTACACGCCCTGCCTGTGGCCCTGGAGCACACACCACTCCTTTCCAGAAAAGGATTTTTTTTTTTTATTCAAGTAACTGCAAATAGGAAAACAAACAGGGAGCCCCAGGCTGGGCCATAAAATGGCCACCCCTTCCCGACAGAACAGGGGAAGAAGGTGGCCCCTACACCCTTCAGGATCAACACGGGCCCCCCTCACTCTGCTGCAGCACCCTAGGGGCAAGGCCCCACCTTCCCTGGGACTGGGTGTCAGTAACCCAGCCTGCTGCGCCCCAGCCCCCTGGTTCTGGGGGAGGGCATGTGGGCAGAACAGAGGGAGGCAATGAGGATGAGTGTTGGGCGCTGACAGCAGTGGTGATGGATGTCAAAGAACAATACATGGAACAAAAAAACAACTGTCCAGAGGTAGTTTGTGAACAGAGGAGAGATGGAACCAGAACCTTGGGGGCTGGGGAGGAGCAGAAGATGGGAGTGGGCAGGGCTAGCTCCTTGTTAGTGCCCCATGTGAGGAGTGGGGAACAGGCCTACAGCAAAGCGGGATGGGGAGGGGGCTGCCACAGGGACCATGGGCCTCACGTGGACCAGAGATGGCCCTTTTCCCAGAGTGAAGGCAGGGTGGGCTGGCAGCTCCTGTACTCGCCTGCCCTCCTACATCCTGGAGGGCTACCCAACCTAGCGTGGGAACTGGGCAAGGTGAAGAAAGAAAAATGTATGGGATCCCCACTTGGTGACAGAGGTTATTGGGGGGCGCTCTTGGTGGGCTAGGCATCCTCCTCCACTGACCACACCTGCTACTGCTGGGGCAATGGAGTGGTGCATGTCAGAATGAGATGGGGCCAAGGCCCCTTAAGGCCAGGGGAGCCCTCCCAGGGCCCTCTTCAGAAAGCCAGAAGGAACAGTGGAGCAGAGAATGGGCCCACAGAGCAGTGTTCCCACCGGCAAGGGAGCGGGACACAGCAGGTGCAGGGTGCGGCTAAGTGGGAATTAGCCTTGTCCAGGAGGGCAAGTGTGTGTAATGGGAGGGGTTGCTGGGAGCAGAGGCCAGCAGGAAGCTGCTCCCCACGGGACCGGGGGCCTTACAGCGGTTGGTATGCTGTGTAGTGTGCAGTGGCGAGGAGGGAGCAGGTGGGGGTTCCAGGGGCCTGGGGAAGTGGGGTGGGGGCAGTGGGAGCTGAGCGAAGCTGTCCAGTCCCAGAGGAATGCTGCTCCTTGGATGACGGAGCAGGCGGCACGGCGCGGTCACTGCTCCTCCTCAGAGGACTCCTGCGAGATGCCCTCCTCTTCCTCCTTCTCCTGTGAGGTGGACACAGAGCTCTGGGCTGGGTGCCCTCCTCCTCCACCCCCGGAGGCCGGGCCCCACCCCCTCCCCAGTGAGTCAGGGCTGAGTGTGTGGGTGACTCAGCAACCTCCAAGGCTGGGTTTCATTCATAAAAAGGAAGAATTTTTTAAAAGGAGGGGGGGAACCACACACACTGTTCTCACAGAGCCAGGAGCCAGGCCCACTTGGCCCACGGAGGGTGGAGGGCAGCTTGGCCTGCCCTGAGGTGTCCAGCTCTCTAGGGAGGAGGCCACAGGGAATGGGGAGGCAGGAGGATGCTGAGTGCCGTGTGGGTACAGGGGAGCCAGGTGGCCTTGGTCCATGGGGAGAAGGTACTGGGCTGCAGACCCAGTCCCTCTGGGGTGGCCGAGGGCTGACCCCAGGCCAGGGTGGGGAGGAAGGGGAAGTGTGTGCCGTGGGCCCACTCACTGGGCGGGAATGTCGGGACACCACACGGGCCTACAGCCCCCGTGCCAGGCACAAACTCCAAAACAACTTGTTTCCTGTTACTCACCCCTGGGGCCTGGCCAACAGCACCCCCTAGCCCCCCCCAACCAGTGGTGGCTCAGCTCGAGGAATGAACACCTTGGGGAGTTGGGAATGGAGTAAGGGCCAGGAAGGTTGGCTCTAGCTGCAGAGCACCCCAGGAACTATGGACTTTGCCCACCACCTACCCCATCATGCTTGGGGAGCCAGGCACTGTCTCCCCTTGAAGTGGGGTCCTGTGTCTTTGTTGCTGCTTTCTTTTCCCAAGAGAACCATAGTGGAGGCAAGCTCACTGCTTCCCCAGGGGCTTCCTCTCTAGGTGGCGGCAGACCAGGTGACCTCCCAGGTCCTACCACAAGCTTCAGTGGGTTGTAGGAGTTGAGGCAGAGAACTAACCCCCTTCCACTGAGGTGGGGCTATCAGGCTGGGCCTGGAGGACCCCTGACAACTCAGAGGCTGGTGTTGGGGTGTGGCGAGCTAGGAGTTAATCTGCTACTTGGCATGCAGGAGCATCGCCCATCAGAGCAAGGTTTGGCTGCTGGTTCTAGCCTGGCCCAGGCCTGGCTGGTGTGGCAATTTGGGGCAGGAACCAGCAGACAGATCTGTGTCCCTTGCAAACTCCCTTCCTCCTTGGGACCTCTGCATAATCTACCCCAGCATTCCTAGCTGCACACACAAGTCAGACAGTGGGTGCAGGGAATGAAGCACCATGACCCCTCCAACAGTCTCCCCCTGAAACAGACAAGGAAGGAATCAAAGCTCCTGCTTCTTCACCTACCAGTTTTTTGGGTCGGCCCCTTGGCTTCCTTCCTGGAGCTGTGGTGGTTTTCTAGAGGGTCAGAGAAAATAGCTCCAAAGTCAAAACACTCAGCACACTGTCCACTGCCCAGTGCCCCACGCAGGGGCCAAGGCAGCCCGGAAGGGGCCCAGCTGGTGGTGACTGGGCAGCCACACTCACCCCCCATCCACACATGCCCCCCACTCCAGCCCCCACCCGTGACTCAGAGGATATGAGTAGTGTCTTAGGAAAATAAATAAATAAAAGCAACTTTTCTGAAAGGCTGATACCACTGGGGACTGGCCTTCCTTGCTTGTCCCCACCCACCCCTCCCAAGTGCAGGGAACCCAGGGGGAAGGTAGCATCCTCAGACCATGCACTCAGGACTGCCGACTCGGTTTCCCCATTATGCTAAACAGCACCAAGCCTGCAGACACCGAGTCATCACCCCCTCACCCACCCAGTGGGGACCCACTCCCCAGGCCTCACCCGGGTCTTGGCAGCACCCTTGTTTTTGCTCCCCTTTGGTCGGCCCCGAGGTCTCTTGGGTGTTGGCACTTCACTAGGCTCCTTCTGCAAAGACACGCAGGGCACCCCATGTCAGTCACCACCTGTCCTAGCCCCTCTGCCCCACCCAGCAGGCCTAAGTCAGCAAGAACCACCAGTGCCTCAGGCACCCACAGGTACCTCAAGGCCTCTGCTGGCTTGTCTTTGCAGAGCCCTCTGTGCTTTCCTTGGGATCCATGGGAACATGACAAGAGGTCCTAAGGCCCCTGGGAAAGGCAGCACAGGGCCAGAAAGATACCGCTAAGCAGTCCTGTCATTCAGCTTGGGCAATGTGCTGAGCACAGGAGCCTCGGTTTCCCAACCTTTCCTTGCAAAGTGTCAGGAACACTGAATGGCTGTGTGGACAGCTCCCAGCCGTGGGTCACAGTGGCTGCCACCCCCTCCAAAGGCACATGCTCCCTCCTGAGGCCACAGATAACGGGGGAGTCCCTCTATTTCAGGCTCTGATGGGAGCAGGCAAATCCCAGATTCCTCCTGGCTCATACCTCCTATAGACCCAGAGGCTGGGAGGCTGTGCAGACCACACTCCACCCTACAGAAGAGCTTGGAGCATAAGTACCTGTCCCAGGATCTGTACAACCTTGTACCCTCTCCTAACCTCCGCTGTCCCTCTGCATAGAGAACTTAACGGGCCCAGCCACCCCTTGCTTGGGAGACAGCTGCCTCTGTGGAAAGCCACGGTTTCCACCCTGGGAACAGGTGCCCCAGCGATGCCCAGTTGGCCACGCTCCCTGGATGCCTCCTGGTGCCAGGCTGGCTGTCTCACCCCTCCGCCATGGGGGTGGGGGCAGCACTGTGCTTCTGACAGCCTCTGCCATCAGCTCGCCCAGTTGCAACGTCTAGTGCTTCCGTTTCCATGTGCAGAGCCAGGCTACTACTACAAGTGTGGCCACCACCAGGCGCCGTGACCAGCAAAGAGCCATCACAAAATCGACAATAAGCACTTAGAAACCTTCAGGCCAAATGGAGTCATTTTATGTTTCGTTTCTGTCAACTCATCTTTACATCATCACTGAGTGTCCACCAAGGACTAGAAACGCAGAAGCTCCAGCTGCAGGTCCAGCTGCAGGTCCTCCGGAGCTCCATGTCGGGTGGGAGCAGGATTCCACACCACCGCACGTGTCCTCACCTACTCAGACACCAGCCACTCCCCATTCCCAGAAGATAAACTGAGGCAGAAACGTGTGGACACCCACCTGGCTCCCTACCAGCGCGGTGCCAGGACTCACCGGAGGCTGCTTGCGCGGCCTGCCCCGGCCTCGCTTCTCCGTGCCGTCCTTTTCCTGCTTGGAGGCCAAGGGCTGGCTGGCCTTCGAGCTCGACTCGCTCATCTTCCCTTCTCTACAGGACAGGCGGAGGAGAGATGGCTGGGATGCTGGGAGACAAGAGCCAATGTGATTAACAAAACATCTCACTTGAGTTGCTTCCGGCCCCACCCCACAGCTCTGGGGACTCCCACTCTGCCCACCCCCAGCATGCTGCCACTGGGTGGGGCAGGGCCGTTGGCCTAATCAGCTCCTTATCTTCTGCTGAGAAGGGCTCTTTGTTGTCCTGCCCAGACACCACCCCCACGGGCCCTGGGGGCGGTGCCCAAGAGGTACAGCCAGCCCAAACCTGGCAGCATGGGAGAGACTGCCCTGGGACAAAGGTGTGTGTGTGGGGGGGGGTCCCACGCTGCCAGGATGGAAGACCACAAGTGGCTGTTCAGAAGGGGGAGGAGGCAGCCCCCAGCTCAGCTGCAAAAAGCCAGGGCTGATATTCACCCAGCAGTTCTCTACTTTCTCCCATGCTAACACCTCAAGGACTCAGACATGGGCACAAGCAGGGGAGGACAACGGTGGCTCCTGTAGTGGTTGAGGTGGACAGGCTCAAGTCTGTGGGGACTGAGCCAGCCCAACCCTGGAGGTTTCACCAACGAGCCGATGCCTGCCCTTAGCGCGGGGAGAGGCAGTTAATGATAAGGCACCTGTCTCAGCTACCTCTCCAGGCCGCACTGGGGCTCAAGCTCAGTAGTAGTTTATAAAACTGAAACCTCAGAGAGAAGTTTGCACTAGAACCACAATGAGAATTCGTCCAGTTAAACACGACTTCTCTTTCCTTCTTGGATTTTTGAGGCCATTTCCAATTTTACTCAGAAAGGGGGAAATTTTTCTTTCTGCAAACTCACAATGTTTGGGGGGACTCCAGGCCCCCCATCCTCCAGCATAGAGAGCCCCAGCAGACGGCGGGACTTTGTCTGGTAATTATACTATTTTATAATATCTCAGGCTGGGAGACCCTTTCAAACAAGGTGGCTGATTTGCTGTGCTCCGTCATTAGTGGCTTGGCCTGCTCTGTAATTACAGGCCGTGATTAGAATCTTATATTACACCACAGGTCCCCCTTCAAACTCAACATCCAAATTAATCAGCTAAATGAGTGCTGACCTCACAGAAGGTCTTGCCTAGGCCCCCTGGCAGGGGGGGCTCCAGTTGGGCGAAGCCCCTTCCTGAGTTCTTAGAGAGCCATGCAATGGCCTGGGCTGCCTGCTCCCCACCCAGGCCCTCTCGTAGTTAAGGAACGCTGGTCTCTTGCACCTGCTTCTAAACACCATGGAGGTCAGGCAGGCAGCAGCCCCATTTCGGGCCAGCCCCCATCCTCTGAGCTCCTGAACGCCCGCGTGGGCCTCAAGTCCCTAACTACTGTGCACACACTGTGTGCTGCTCCAGTGCTCCAAGACCCCGCAGCAAAGACCCCAATTCAGCACCTTAACAGGCTCTTATTTTGCATCAAGAAAAAAAGTCGCCCAGAGAAGCCGGATGAGTTTCCCAAGGTCACACAGTAACCCGGCGAGCAGGATGGAGGCGATTGCTCCCAGCCCGCCACTTCAGCTCCCTCACCTAGAGGCCGCTTAGCGGACGCGGGCTACGGACCCAGGGGGCGTCGGTAAGCGCGCGTGCCGAGGCCGCCCGGCGGGAGTGCGGGGGGGAGGGGCGCAGGCCGGCCCTGCAGGCGCGGGAAACCGGCGCACCCCGACCGCATGCACCGCCACGCGGGTGCACCCGGCCCCACTTCCTGCCAGAGGGGGCACCCAAGCCCGCCCCGGGGCAGGAAACCTGGCGCGCGCCGGCTGGGGACAGGAAGAAAGCCCCCGCCTCTCCTCTCTCGGTGTGCACCGTCCCCGCAAAATAAAACCCCAGGAAAATAGAAACGGGGAGTCCAAGGGACTAGTTCCAACAGAGCCCAGCAAAGCAGAGAAACCAGTTTGTGGGGGCGGAGGGCAGGCCGGGCCCTGGGGGCTGAAGAGGCGCAGCTCGGGCCAGAGGTGGGGTCGAGGTGAAGCCCCAAATCCAGGCCGGCCAACCGGGTTGCACCCGCCGAAGGGGGTGGCGGGGTGGGGGGGAGGAGAGCAGCGGGAAGAAAAGCCAGAGGGAGGAGGCGAGAGCTCCATCTCGGGGTTCCCGCCCAACCCCCTCACTTCCAGAACTTCGTGCGGCTGCGGGGGGCGTCCGAGCCCGGCCGCACTCCCCGCCGCGGCCCGCGCCGCCCCCCACCCCGGCCCCGGCTCGGGCGGGAGCGGCCGCGGCGCGAGGTGCACCGGGTTCCGCCGGGCGCTCAAGTCGCGCTCGCCGCAGCCGCGCGCCCCCTCCCCCACGCGCGCCTCTCCGGGGTCCGCGGCGCGCGCCCCCTCCTCTCCGCACGCAGGGCGCCCGCCGCACCGGGGGAAGAGCAGGGCTGCGGGCGTCCGCCCCGCGCCGCCGCCCGCCCCCGCGGCCCTCCCCCGCCGCCGGCTCGCGCCGCCCCGGCCTGGGAATAAAGCCGGCGGCGCGCGCTGCAGCCCCGGGCGGCGGGGGGCTGCGTGCAGGCGGGGACGGGCGCCCCCCTCCGCCGCGGGCCCCGGGGACGACTCACCGCGAGCTCGGCCGCCGGCCTGCGGTGCGCGCTCGGGGCTGCCGGGAGCGACGGTGCTGGGCGCTGGGGAGGACCGGCCTGGCTCCGCCGCCGCCGCCGCTCGTAGCAAATGCGGATCTGAAACCGGGAGAGAGGGCAGAGGCGCTCAAGAGACCGCCGCCGCCGCCGCGTGCTCGCCGCCCAGGCCCCCGCGGGGTATTTATATGTCACGGCCAGGGCGGGGGGCGACTAGAATATTCTCCCTCCCCCGAAGGATGGCGAGGGGGCAGGAAGCTGGGCACGGCCCGTGCGCGGCCTCAATAAATAAATAATTTAATTAAATTATAGATATGAAGAAGAAGAAAAAAAAAAAAAAGACGCCACCGGAGCGGCCGCGAACTCACGCCTTCTTGGAGCCGCGCCAGCGCCAGAAATAGCCCCGGCTCGGAGTCCCAATTAGAGGAGCGCAGCCCCGGCTCTGGGGAGCTTAAAAAGAGCGACCCAGGGGCAGGGGGGACGGGCCCGCCCGCGCCAGCCGTGTCACCGGGGGCGGGGCCATGCAAATCAGCCCGGGGATTTAAAAGGGCGGCCGCCCGCCTGCCGCCGCCGCGCGGGTGGGTGCTCACGTTACGGGGTTCCGTCTCGCTCCCCGAACGGCCGGGCCGGGATCCCGCCCGCGACCCCCTCCCCACCGTCCCGCGCGCAGGGACTAGGGCAGAAAACAGCCCTGAAGGGGCTCCCGGCACCGTGTGTGTGTGTGTAGGGCGGTCGTCCCCACCGTCTGGGGCCCGGGTCCCGGGACGAGTCACCTCTAGGGGCGTTGACGGGCGCGCCTGCCCCCCGCCGCGCGTGGGTGGGCGTCCGTGGCCGCGCGGGGGGCGGGGGTCGCGCAGAGGACGGAGGGCTCCGCGGCCTACGTGCCGCCCCCTTCCCGCTCCCACCCCGGCCGTTCCGCGGGCTCACAGGTTTCTCTGGGTGGACAGGTGTCGGCACGTGTGTTTGAGCAGCCGCGAGGGCCTGACGGGGGAAGTGCGGTCTTGCCAAATTGAGACGTGGGAGACCCTCGGGTGCCCAGAGGGACGGCTGCGCGCGAGCCGTGCTCCAGGTGCGGCCCTGAAGCGGAACCAACGGCCGGCTCGCTCGCTCGTGGGCTGGACCCCGAGCGGAGGCGTCATTCCGTGAGGGGACTTGGCGGGCGTTTCCGAGGCACGCGATGGCCCCGGATTCTGTCGCCGTTTAAAAAAAAAAAAAGAAAGAAACGAAACGGGGTGGGCCAGCGGCCGCCTGGAAGCGCTTTGCGGGCAGGGACTGCGTTTACGCACGCCGCGCCCGGCTCCCACGGAGACCTGTTGCGCCGGGCAGGGAGGAAGGCAGAGTGAGGAAGATGGCGCTGGGGAGAGCGCGGGCGCCCTGGGAGAGGAGCGGCGCGCCCTGCAGGCCGGGCCGCGGCCCTGACGGGCGCACCTCCCGCGCCTCGGCCCCGGGGCGGCCTTCCACACCTCCCGTGATGCAGGGAATTGCAATGCGGCCCAGTGACACACGGCTGTGACTCATGTTTTTCTTTGCTCCCCTTCTTCCTCCCTGGTCAGGCCCAGGCCCTGGCCCAGCCCCCTCCTCAGGGGGGCGAGCCGGCGGTGGGCGGGAGGGGATCGGGAGTGGGGGTGGCGGGACGCTAGGAAAACCCAGAGCCCGCGGTGGAGGCGGGGTGGGCCTCCCAAGTTTCAGGAATGTTTCAGGAATGTTTCCGGTGGGGGTGGGGATGGAGCGAGGAGTGGGCCCAGCCCCCACCCCGGGGCAGCGGGTGGCGCTCGGGGCCCGGGCAGCACGTGCTCGGCCGGGTGGGGGCGGGGACGGGGGCGCCTGGGCGGGAAGGCGCGGGAGGCCGAGAGCGCGGGTTCAAAGGGGAGGGCGCAGGCCTGAGGCCTGCCGGGTCGGGGAGGGGGGTGTGGGGATGGGCCTGGAGGCCGCCCTCCTCCGCGCGCTGGCTTCCCGCCCCGTGCCCAGGTGAAACGTAGTTCCCAAGAAGTCCCGGGGCCGGCCCACGGAGGGGAGAGGAAGTCACCGAAGGGCGGCCGGGGCGAGGCTGGGGGAGGGGCGGCCGGCCCCTTTGTCTGGAGCCGGGGGTGGGGGTGGGGCGGGGTGGAAGCGCGCCGCTCCCTCCATCTTAGTGCCCCGCGCCGAGAGCGCGCTTAGTAGGCCGTGGGCCGCGTTGGCTGGAGGCCCCTTCAGGTGCGAGCTCAGGGGCCTTGGCAGCGTTCAGCCGAGGCCGCCTTCAGCGTTGGCCACCCTTTGCCCTGGTCCCAGGCCTGTGCCAGCAGCCGGGGGTCCCCAGGCTTAGGCCTGAGGTAGCAGTGAGAGCCCGCGCGCCCCTAGACAGCCCTGCTCGAGGCCGGCCCCGCTGCTATGCCCTTGGAACTAAGGTAGCTAAGATCTTGCAGACCCCTCTCTGAGACATACCTGACCTGGGGACAATTCTTTGGTGCTCGTGGGATACATGGGCGTCTCTGAGAGGGAAACGGGGTTTCCACCTCGAGTGGGCTGTGGGGAAACTTGGCCAACCCTTTGGCCCACTTCTTGCAAGCCTGCTTGATCCTATTTTTCCTATGCTTGTTTGTCTCTCGTCCTGATTTCCTCACCGACTTGTTTTTTACCTTGTATTGTGTGTATTTTTGTAAGCCACCTCAAACTCTTCTCTGGAAGGAGGCAGGTATAAATAAATTCCTAGGCAAACAAATATAGCTAGTTCCCCCTCCAGGATTACCCACACTCTTGAAATCCAAATAACACTCTACCCCCACTTCAGCCCTGCTGGGTTGCTAATGCCTTGTACTTTTCTCTTTCCAATAAGTATTAAACAGAAGAGTGAATGAATGGGAGGGATAACAGGAGTGAAGTGCAGTCTGAAGTGGGTTTCCTGTGTAGAGGACCCAGGTCGGGAAGTACATCAGAGGACGCTGCACAACAGGAAGCGCCATGAGGGGAGGCAGCACCCAAGCACCCAGTGGGTGAACACGGCAAAGTTTCTGGCACTCTTTAAAACCTGAGGGTGGGTACAAGCAGTGAAGAGGAAAGTTGTGAAGGACAGTCTTGAGGTAGGTCTTGATGAGATGTGAGTAGGTGGGTGGTTGTGGAGGATACATCCAAAGCAGGAAGAAGGCCTGGGGTGTCAGCCAAGTTGGCCCAGATTTGAGGGGTGCTGGGTTGACATCTGTGAACCTGTTTTCCCTACTTAGGAAAAGATTCTATCATGATCAGGGTCAAGTGATGCCAGCAGCCCAGTGAATTTGAATGGCTCCAACAGGAATATCCAGGAAGTGGAGGCCTGGATCCACCTTAGTTTTTCTTTTCTGGAAGAGTTGGTGGGAAGACCGATGCAGGTGGCTCCATTTAATGGTTTGTTAAGGACAGTTTGTAGTTCGTCCAGCATAAAACACAATCAGGCTGGTATAGGTAGGTGGAAAGCATCAGGAATTATCCATTTTGTTGTTCAAACTAGCATTTTAAAAACAACAGCAACAATAAAAACGTGATGTTTGTTTTCAGTATTTGAAAAACAAAGACTGAAGCTGTCTTCCAACACCAGGTCAAAGCCCCAAATACCTCCAACAGCCAGGGCTGTACTAGGCCACAGCCAGGACAGGAGTACTCCAGCTGGGTCTCCATGTGAGTGGCAGGGATCCAAGTGCTTGAAACACTTCACCTGCTGCTGCCCAGGGTGGTTAGCAGGGAGCTGTATCTAAGTACAGGAGTTGGGGCTCCTAGCTAGGGAGTCAACAGCCATCATGCTTGCTGCTCAGCATACTTTAAAAGTAAACCTTTAACTGATGACAACTTTCCAAGCACAAGATGCACAAACCATAAATGTTCAGCCTAATGCATTTTTACAAACTTAACACTTGTGTGTGTCTCCTAGGTTAAGACAGAGTACCTCTGGCCATGCTGTCAGCACTGTCCCACCTCCCACCACATTACTCAGTATCCCCTGTTTACATACAAGCGTAGATGGAATCTGTGTGTGGATCGCTGGGGCTTGGTGTCCTCCGTTCAGCTGTGTCTGAAGGTTCTCTATGCTGTTGCAGGTGCCTGCAGAAAAGGAATTCTCACAGCTGTAGTGGTTAGATGGCAGGGCCGCACAGTCGTCCATCCTCATCCTTCCTGATTGAGGGACGTTTGGATGACTTCTGAGTTGGTGCCTTGCATATTCTAGGATAGGTCTTAGTGGATGTGAATGTTTCTTCTGGGTGAGGAATGATGGCCACAGGATGTGTGTGTTCAGCTTGAGCAACAGATGGGACACACAAGTATGGAAGGGACCACTATTAATAGTTACAGGCAGACAGCAGGCACCAACTTGACCTAATCCATCCTGAGTGGAATGGACCCGAGCAAGCCAGAGATAAGCTCACCCTGGTGCGTGGTGTCTACCCGTTCTTGAGTCAGCCAGCTACTAGTGCATCTGTTCATCTGGCACGATCAGGCCTGCAGGCCCTGCTGACCACAAACTCTGCTGCCAGGAAGCCTGGCAGGCCTTGAGTGGGAGGAGGGCCTCTTTGCTTCCAACTTTCGAGGGAAAAATTCTCAAGTGAAAAGGAGGGCGCAGAAGGCAAGCACCTCTCTGCTGTGAGGCAGCTCTGGAACCCTGCTTGGGCCCCAGACGCCAGGGACTCGACTCTTCTTCAGGCTGGACCCAGCGTAAGGAGGGAGTTTGAGGACCGACCCTACCATCCTGGATTGGGGTCACCATGAATGCCTTGATTGCCTGCTTACCCAATACTGCCTTAAATCCCTTAGGTCTCAGTACCTGGTTACTCAGCATTACCGTAAAACTCCTAGAACTCGGACCCATGAGGCCCCCCCCCAGCCTAAGTAAGCTTAGTGACAGTCAGGTTTAAACTGTGTTCCACCAATCCCCTGAGGCACCTTACAGCCCCATCTACCAATCCCTGTTCTCCTCCCTGCGGCCGTAAAAGATGCCTTTCCCCTTTGTTCTCTTTCTGCTCTCACTTTCTCCCTGCCCAGTGCTACCTCCCTGCTACCTCCTGTGGTTCACTTGCTGTGTCTGGTGTCTTGGGTTTGTGGAAAAAATCTAACACCCAGTCCTGCTCCAACCTCGGAAGGAAACGAGAAAGTGAAGTTGATGAGAACATACTGAATACACGGGCTCTGTTGCTCCGTCCACTCCCTGGCACCAATATTATGCTACTGCTCCTGTTTTGCTGGCATTAAGAGAATCTTGGGTGGTTGAAGAGCTTAGGATTCTACCGTGTTTCCCTTGCCCTTATGTTCCAGTCTGTGTTAGCTTGCCACCTCTCCCTAGCCTGGCAAGTTGACTCCTTCCAGCAAAACAGGCCCAGCAGCGTGGCCTAGTGGCTAAAGTCCTCGCCTTGAATGCACCTGGATCCCATATGGGTGCTGGTTCTAATCCCAGCAGATCCACTTCCCATCCAGCTCCCTGCTTGGAGGGGGTTCCTAGCTCCTGGCTTCAGATTGGCACAGCACC